TAAATTTTTTTTAAAAAAAATTTTTTTAGAAGAAAGAAAGAGGAGAGAGAAAATTCTTGCATGTCTTTCGCGAGGTCCTTCGGCGGCTCTGATTTCCTAGTTTACTTTGGTGCAAAAAACCCCCCGTCCCACGGAGTCCCTCGCGAAGGCCGGCAGGAGACGGCGCGGCACCCGAAGCAATGCGGCTGCCCCTCCGGACGGTGCCCCAAGATCCAGTGCCTCCTCCGGCCGGAAGAGAGCCAGCAAGACCGCGGACCTGTTCAACGAAATAGAGACGGACGTCCCTGCAGGAAATGACCATGCTCGCCTCTGACTCAGAGTCCTTCAGACTGAGAGGCGACCAGCGCGTATCTGAGCTCGCGGAGAACGGCTGTTGGGGACGCGCTGACTCCCGCAGAAGCCCAAACGGGGTCCCGATGAGGGGACAGGGGCAGCGGGTGTCTCCAATAAAGGGGAGGGGACAGGGACGGCCACAGAAGGAAGGCGTGGCTATCGGTACAGATCACGTGACACGGTGACGCCGACTCTAAACAGTGTCTTTAATCCTCCGTCTGGGGTCACCGGAGCTGGAGTCGTGACCTCTGCTTTCTTGTCATCTTTTCAAACGGGTCTTTAGGACACCAAGTTGCCCAGGCCCCGTGCAAAGGTGACTCTGTCTTGTTTTAACGTGCCGAAGGTTTGAGGATGAGACGAGCAGGTGGCTCCCCTAGGACGGCCGCTCCGGCTCCCTGTTCAAGGGGCTCCGCGTGTGTGTTGCTGTTTATGACGCCTTGTCTTGAGGCAAGGATAGCGAGGCATACGGCCAGAAAAGGAGACAAATAACCCCAAAATTGGAGCACGGGTTCCAGGATGTTTTGTCAACCTGCATTTTCAGTGCTGCGAATGTCCTCGTGGTTTGCCATCTCGACCTTCCCTGCCGTCGATGTCCGCGGGCCCGTCCTGGACGACGCCATCGCTGGTTTTGCGGACGGCTCTGCCGTGCCGAGTGCCGGCCGCCTCTGTGCCATCGCCCGTAGATGCTCGCGGTCCTGGCTTCCCGCTTTACGGACAGGGCTGTCCGATGTCACTGTTCCTTTCCACGTTGTCACCTGCGTGCACTTGTTATGGACACACAATCACAGCGTCTTCAGAACACCCCACGGGGACTTCTTACCTTAGTGTGTTCACTGTTGTCTGCATTGTCGATACCTTTGTAAACAAGACTCTGCATCGTACAGTCTCTGAGCGTGCAGACAGGTCTCCAGAGCTTGCGACCACATCGGTAACGCTGCTCTCCGGGGGGCTGAGGTCCCTTTCGACGACTTCCTAGCAGGCGCCGACTTAGACAGAGAGGGAGCCGCGTGTTGCGTTGGCCGGTGCTATTTTACATGCTCCATCTCGACACATCTCGTTTTTCTCATAAAGGTGAAATTCTCCGTGCTATTGAAGAAAACGGCTTGAGAAACAGGACGCTGGTGTATTTCACGTCCGATCACGGCGGATGTTTTGAGAGCACAGACTCCGAGGGCCAGCTGGGAGGATGGAATGGAGTGTACCGAGGTGAGGCCGGGCACGCTGGGGGGGGACAGGGACGGGAGCGACCGCCTAGCCCGGGCCCCAGCGTCGGAGAGCGAGCCGGAGGTGCCCGCTCTGTCAAAGCCTGTGGTCTGTCGAAGGGGCTTCTGGAGCCTCGGCCCCAAGAACACGTCCTCCCTAGATGCCAAGGTAGAGACGTAAAGACGCGTGCTTTCCATTTTAATAGAAGAGAGACGTACAAATAAATAGTATCGAACCCCAAAGGAAGGCCGTTCTAAATAATACGTAGCGTAGTGTCCCAGCTGTGTGTGTCCTTCTAGACCTACAGGTCGTGACCCATTTGGGGCATAACCCTTTCCCAGTGGCGTTTTGTGAAACTCTGATACAGTCAGTCCACGTTATGCGTGGATTCCATCTTGGCGAATGCGGCCCTCGCACCCCCACACGCTACGCCGGGTGCTTCAGCCGCCGTGCGCAGAGCACCAGGTCACTTGAGTCGCCCGACGAGCACGCTGCCCAGCCAGGCGGGACAAGGTGACGTGCAGCCTTCGCCGTCGCGGCTCTCAGAGGGAACGGCTCCTTCTCGCAGTTGTTTAGAGCCGCGTGTTTACACTTTTGCGGGTTTGGGTGGCGATTTGCCTGTTCCAAACGGAGTCGGGTGTAAGGACACGTGTTCCTGAGTGCGAGGAGGCTGTGACGTGCCTGCAGGGAACAGCACGGGCGTCAGGTAAGCTCGGCGCATGCTTCCCGGGCTCCGCTCTTGGCCATGACGTCGATGCTGATGGATCAGCCCTAGCCAGTCGCTAAGGGGCCTTTAAACAGAAACACCGTGTGACAAGGTTTGTTTGTATGGAGGGACGAAGGTGTAGCGAGTGAGCAGGGCCTCTCAGGAACCTGCGCCCGAACTTCCCCTGGGGACAGAGTCAGTCTTCGCTACGTCAGTGTTGGCGGCGGCCTCGCAGGGCGAAGCCACCGGGAACAGGATCGAGTGTCTGGACGTGAGCCTGTTGCATCTGGGGACTTCCCACGTGTCTGCCCTAGTGGTGGGCGGAGTCGCCTGCCACACGCAGGGCATCTGCGGCTATGACCGGACGTCCGTGACGTGATCGCGGTGTCTAACACGGCACCGTGGACCCCGAGGTTGGGACATTCCCTGGGCGGGTGGGCCAGGCCTAACCACGTGACGCTTCGAAGCCGAGCGCTCTCTCCAGCGCGTGGCCGAAGGAGAAGTCGGACTTGAAAAGCGAGAAGGGCTCGACACGCCGTCGCTTCGAAGGTGGAGGGGCCGAGCGACAGGAGACGCAGCGGCCGCAGGAGCCCCGGGCGGCCTCGTCAGCACGGACACAGGATCCCGTGTCGTCCAGCTGCCCAAACGGACGGGGAAGCGCGGTTCTCCCTCCGGTCGTCCGTCTCGGAGCCCTGACGGCCGACAGCGCGACCTCAGCCCGCGGGACCGCGAGCAGAGCACCGAGCGAGCTGCGCTGGGCTCCCGCCCCTCCAAGCCGGTGGCGGCATTTCAGGCGGCCGCGTTCACAGCGCCAGAAAACCAGCGACATCACGAGGCCGTCGCAACGCCAAGCTCGAGCGTTTGCGTAGCTGGATTCCCACGACGTCCCCCCGCGCAGCCCGATCGCTTTCATTCCCATGTCCCGGGTTCCTAGAGAGGCTCAGGCGAGCTCAGAGGTGACTGATATTTCACCAAGGAAAAGGAATGCAGTGCTTAATAGTTGGCTGCACCCCCCGTCCCCCGAGAGGCAGACTGTGTCCCCAGCATTAGCAGAGGCCTCTGGGCGGGGAGGGGATGCGGTCGCTTTATAGATGAAGGGACACTAAGGTGAGGAGAAGCAGCCGGGGGGTACGCTGAGGACGAAGAAGGGGAGCAGGGGGCGTCCCCAGGTCCAAATTCCCGGACACAGGAAAGAAGAAAGACGATGAGGTCAGCCGACCTTTGATTTCTATGACACCCAAGTGCTACTTTCTCCTGTTCTTTGAGCCGGTCCCAAAGACCCGCCCCCTCCCTCCCGGGAATTCCAGAAGGAGGGGATGTGGGCTCCCCCTGCTGGCGGGGACATCGCGAAGTTCTGGAACTGGCTGGGGACACTTCTGGGACCCGCGGGCTGCGGCCGCGTGCGTTCACGTGCTTTGGCATCCGCGTGCCACGCACACAGGTGCTCACGAGTGCGTGTTGAGATGGGACGATCTCCTGGACAGGCCTAACGATGTCATTTACTTATAGGTAGCAAAGGCATGGGCGGCTGGGAAGGCGGCATCCGAGTCCCGGGCATCCTGCGCTGGCCCGGGGTGCTGTCGGCCGGCCGGGTCATCGACGAGCCCACCAGCCTGATGGACGTTTTCCCCACGGTGGTGGAGCTGGCGGGCGGCCAGGTGCCCCAGGACAGGTAGACGCATGCGATGAGACAGCCTGTCCCTAATCCTCGAGACCCCCCCCTTTACGTTTAGACGAAAAAGCTACGACACAACAAACACTAAAAAGTTCTCGCATCTTCGAACGTAGGGCACAGCCTGCATGAAATAACCGCACTCGGTACATCATAGGTTTAAATCAAGTATGGGATCAGGCTCCTTGTTTTGCAGTTTTGGTAAAACTGTAGACCCCAGAATAAAAAGGGAGAGAGTAACCCATTCGAATGGGATCCATTGAAAACCGTATAATTTTCTGCAGTACGACCGTGCCTGTGTGTTGAGGAAGCTCTACTAACATGATTTAAAAATCGTCTGTCGCCTCAATAACAACAAAGTGCCAACGACTCTCTCTAACACAAGAGAGAAAGTAGAAGTCAATATGACGACAACGATTCGATTTGATGCCGCTTACGGGGCCACGCGGATACTCCAGTGTAAGGGACAATAATATGAGGTGCCCGGTTTTGCACGTCTCGTCACAGGAAAGCATTTTATTTGTGTACCATCAGGATTTTCCAGAGAGAGAGAACAAATATCATATACGCGTGTGTGCGTGCGTGTGCCTGTGCACGCACGCACACTGCTTGTGTAACGCCCATCAAACAACCCTGAAACTTAGCGACTTCGTGTCTTAAAACATCCACGTGCATCTTGGTCACCGAGCAGCAGTGTGGTCCGTGCTCCGGGAGGCGGGTCTTCCCTGCGGCCCTGGCCGTCAGTTGGGGCTGTCACAGCCTGGCAGGCTCACCCCCGGGTGCGGGATGCAGCCCACGCAGCCTGGCTCTGATTTCTCCCTCCCATGTCTTCACCGGATCAGGGTGATTGACGGCCGTAGCCTGCTGCCCTTGCTGCAGGGAGCGACCGAGCGCTCGGCTCACGAGTTCCTGTTTCATTACTGCGGGATGTACCTCCACGCGGCACGCTGGCATGACAAGGACCGTGAGTACTCACCTTCCCCCCGGCGCTGCGGCGGCCTGTGTCCGGCACGCTTCTCCCGGGAAACAGACCGGGAGGATGTGCGGGTGGGCGGGCGGATGGGTGGGTGGGTGGATGGCTGGGTGGCTGATTGATGGATGCATGCATGGATGATGGATGATGGATGATGGATAATGATGGATGGATGGATGAGTGATGGATGATGGATGATGGATGATGGATGATGGATGATGGATGATGGATGATGGATGATGGATGATGGATGATGGATGATGGATGATGGATGATGGATGATGGATGATGGATGATGGATGATGGATGATGGATGATGGATGATGGATGATGGATGATGGATGATGGATGATGGATGATGGATGATGGATGATGGATGATGGATGATGGATGATGGATGATGGATGATGGATGATGGATGATGGATGATGGATGATGGATGATGGATGATGGATGATGGATGATGGATGATGGATGATGGATGATGGATGATGGATGATGGATGATGGATGATGGATGATGGATGATGGATGATGGATGATGGATGATGGATGATGGATGATGGATGATGGATGATGGATGATGGATGATGGATGATGGATGATGGATGATGGATGATGGATGATGGATGATGGATGATGGATGATGGATGATGGATGATGGATGATGGATGATGGATGATGGATGATGGATGATGGATGATGGATGATGGATGATGGATGATGGATGATGGATGATGGATGATGGATGATGGATGATGGATGATGGATGATGGATGATGGATGATGATGGATGGATGGATGACTGATGGATGATGGATGGATAGATAGACAATAGATGGATTGATAAATGATTGATACGTAAATAGCTAGATGATAGATTGATAGATGGGTAGACAGACAATAGATAGATGATAGGAAGATGAGAAATTATGTAGATTACAGAAGATAAAAATAGATGTAGATGGATGATGGATGCATGGATCATCATCCATCTACATCTGAGGGCACGGGATTAACAGATTTCCAAGAAGCTACTCACGTGATTGTGGGGGCTGGCGACTCTGAAATATGCAGGCGACTCTGAAATATGCAAGCGGCTCTGAAATATGCAGGCGGCCCGCCCACCGGGAGTTCATGCTGCCGTCTTGACTGTGAAGGAAACTCAGACCGAATTTCTGTGCTGTGGTCTGCAGGCAGAATTCCTCCCTCTTTGGGGAACTTCCACTCTTTTTTCTCTTAAGTTCTTCCACTGATTGGGTGAGGCCCACCCACAGTAGGATGAGCTATCTGCTGCTTTCCTCGAAGTCCGCTGATGTCATTGTTAAACTCCTTTAAAAAATACGTTCACAATGACACGTAGACTAGCACTGGATCTGGACTCCATGTCCTGGCCACGTTGATACACAAAGTTGAGCATCATGAAGCACATCTCTTTCTTACCAGCTGAGAAGAATGACGCATTATGTTCCATCGGTTGGTGGCTGGTGCTGGCCATGTTTACAGGGGATGGGGTGTGCCGGCTCCGCCCCGTGCAGTCCTGTAATCGGCTTTATTATCGGCCACGTATGCACATGAAGCCCTAGACAACATAGCGAGACCTCTGCCGGTCACGCTGTGGGTACAGCCTAGTTGCCTCTGTTTGTAGAAGTAACAGGGACATTAAAAACTAGGGCAAAGTGTCAGAAGATTCTCAGGGCATCCGTGATTCTAATCCCCATACGGAGCCACACGGAGCCCTTTTGGACGAGCTTTGCTTCTCTGTGCACACCATCCACATGCCCGCACGCACACGCGCGCGCACACACACGCGCACACGCACCCTGATTTGACGTCGGTGTCGAAAGCGCACGAGGCCCCTCGCACCCTTCTCTCTTCTGCCCCTGTGTCACCTGGGCTGTCTCTGAGCCTTCTGCGGTGTCCGTTCTTGAGTCGGGGGTTTGGGGTCGACCAGGGTTCTCCTCCCCTGACCGCCTCCCTGTCTGCGTCCAGGCGGAAGACTCTGGAAGGTCCATTTCATGACGCCACGGTTGCACCCCGGCGAAGCGGGCACCTGCTACAGCCTCCTCTCGTGCCCCTGTTCCGGGGAGGGCGTCACCCGGCACAGCCCCCCTTTGCTCTTCGATCTCTCCAGGGACCCTTCCGAGGCCTGGCCCCTGTCCCCAGGCTCCGAGCCCCTGTACCACGCGGTGATCGCCAGGGTGGACCAGGCGGTACGGGAGCACGAGGAGACCCTGAGCCCCGTGCCCCCGCAGCTGTCCCTCGGCAACATTCTGTGGAAGCCGTGGCTGCAGCCGTGCTGTGGGACCTTCCCCTTCTGCTCCTGCAGCCCGGACGGCGACCGCGGGGACATGTGACCGTACGCCGTCAGGGTGGCTGCCGCCAGAACGCGGACCCACGCGTGCCGGCGAGGACGTGGGGAAAAGGGAGCCCGCGCGCACCGCGGGAGGGGGTGTCCACGGGTGCAGCCGCAAAGGGGAACCGTCTGGGGGTCCCTCAGAAATTAAAAACAGAACTACCTTATGGCCCAGCAATCTTCTGTGCATTTATCCGTCAGACGTAAAATACGCTATCGAAGAGACACCGCACCCCGTGTTCATTGCTGCATCCTTCACAACAGCCAAGGTGTAGCAACGACCCCAGTGACCTCTGATCGATGAATAAAGAGAATGCGATGGGCAACCAGTGCATCATCATTCAGCCAGGAGAAATAAGGAAATCATGCCGTTCGGGAGAACAGATGAAGCTGGAGGGCGTTATGCTGAGTGAAATCGATCAGACAGGGAGGGACAGACACTGTGTGTCCAGTTTAAAAAAAAAAAAAACAGCATCGTGATTCCCAGGGCAGAGGGCGGGCGAGATGGGCAGACACCGGCCAGCCGCACGCACTTTCAGATATAAAGGGGGGTAGATTCTGGGGGTGTCACCTAGAGCCTGGCGGTTCCAGCGAATACTTTCTCGTCCACTTGAAATTTGCTAAATTAGTGGACAATGGCTGAGGACAGGGGGTGGATGTCCCAGTTAACCTGCTTACGGTTAACCCACAGGTATGTGTCTATCGGATCACAAACTCCTTAAATCCATGCCATTTTATTTGTCAAGACATCTGGGAAGTAAATTTCTGCGAAGGGCGGGGACAGCTCCATCCAAAGACGGGGCCCGGGACTAGGGCAGCGGACCCAGCGGAAATCAGCAGTGGTCCTGCTGCGGTGTCACGGTTTCGGGGAGCGTCACCTGGGCGGGGAGTGGGTGTGGGTTTTCTCATCGATGTGCACAAATTAAAAAACAAAAAACAAAATACCTGCCAAACAACAAACAGACTTGAACGCCCGGCTTCCTGTTTTCCTTCCTTCGAAAGCCCAGCGTCAACCACGGCTGTAGAACCAGCGACACAGGTGGACGCACTTCCTGTTTACGGGTTCCAGCCGGCTCGTAAACACCTGGCATTTGCAGCAAACCTTTTATTTTTACAGCTTTTAGAACTTTCTCGCACACTCCCGAGTGAGGTTCTTCGGACGCGGCCTCTCTCCACGCACGGGAGGCCGTCAGCATTTCGAGCTGCGTCTTTTCATCTTACACTTTTCGCCGAGTTACGTGTTCCAGACTGATTCTGGAACCTTCGGGCGGGCAGTGGGTGGGCGAGGGGAGACGAAACGGGGAAACGACCCCACACCCAGAGTGGGAGGAAGCAGAGCTGCCGGGATGGGGTTTGGGGTCCCCCCCCACCCGCTGTGGTCAGCAGGGGGCCGGGCAGGGGTGGGGACAGCCTTCATTTGGCACCACACTGAACGGGCTCTGCCTTATCTCAGAGGCCTGCCCATCTGGTGTTTGCGTGTAGGTCAAGATAACGGGGTTCACTATGGAGCCAGTGAAACTTCACGCCCCAGGAACCTGCGGTCTGTCTCATGATTTGCACCTTTGCGGGTGGCCTGACCCATCAGGCGGGGTCACTTCGTGGAGGGACAGCCCCTCCCTTCCTCTGTCTGCTTTGATCCGCCTTGAAACGGTCTGTTCCCGCAGACCCCGGGGCTCAGTCTGCAGACAGGAAAATGGAGGGCAGTTTTTAAGCCCTGGGGCTGGGCAGCCTGCACCTCCTTCCTCTCGCTATGGGAAAATCCTCTCTAACATTCGCACTAAGACAATTTAGCAGAAGGGTCCGCTCTAGCCGGTCCCATCTCCCAGCCTATTAGACGTGCGGTGCAGGGTTTCACAGACGGTGCCGCCACGGCTGGATGTCCTCATGTCACAAGACGGATTGAACCCCGCGTCTCACACCAGGCACGAAAATGGACCCAAAATTCAGCAGACACTGGAACTTAAGAGTAGAATCTACAAAACTTCTCGAAGAAAACTGTCCTATTGGGTTGGGAAGGGTTTTTTTTTTTTAGATAAGACACCAAAAGACGGATCTATTACAAAAAAAAAATGTTTGATAAGTGAGAGATCATCAACATCTAAGCATTTGGGCTCCAAAGAGCACAGTGACGAAAATGAAGAGGGAAGCCACACGCTTTTTTAAATTTTATTGTAAAAATATCTTTCATTTTATATTTTTTTTTCCGAAGAAAACTGTCCTATTGGGCTGCGTAATAAGACAAATGATCCAATAAGTCGGCACGAGACGGAAACAGACATTTTCTTGGACCAGGTAGGAAGGGCCGGTGAGTACGCGTGAATATGCCCTCGGTCTCGTGAGCCCGTAGAGAAAGGCCTGCCCATCGAAACCACGAGATGCCACTTCGCACAGGGACGGCGAGAATAGAGACAGACGATGGTGGTGGGTGAGAAGGCGGGGGGGCCGGAACCCTCATACATCGACGGTGGGGGGACAGGCTGCAGCCACTATGGGACGCAGTGTGGCGGCTCGGCTCCTGTCAGTGTTGGCGGCACCTGTGTGCGAGGCAGGACGTGATCGTCCACGGTGCTTACAGGTGCGGGGCTGCACGCGGGCAGTCTTGGGTGCAGATTGCTCGCTCTCTGTCTGAGTCGTTCTGTCTTCAGGCTAATCGCTCGAACTCGACTTTGAAAGGCCTTTTCTTTTTAGATTAACTCTACCGTCAAAGCTGCAAACGCTTGACCATCGCCCCGACCATCCTCAGTAGGGAGGGGGGTGACAGGCCACGTCCACCCACCTTCTATTCCCAGAGATGCTGCTGGGTCATCTTCGTGGCCAACCGGCCGGTGCTGGCTTTTCCTCCGCTCGCTTTTTAAAAGTGATTTTTATTTACTTAATTTGAAAAGACTTCTGAAATTGAGGTAAATTCTCACGGAGTAAAATTAACCGTTGTACACTGAATAAATCAGTGGCATAGCGTCTCCACAAGCTTTGCAACCATCGCCTCGATCTGTCTGGTTCTAGAACATTCTCATCGCCCCAAAAGGAGACACCGTCGCCATCGGCAGTGTCTCCCCACCCTCCACGGACCTCCCATAATCCACTTCCTGTCTCTGTCGATGTCCCTGTACTAGATGTGTCACGGACACAAACTCACACACTGTGTGACCTTCCATGTTTGACGTCTCCCCTGGGGTCGTGTGTGCAGGGTCCACCCCACGTCGAAGCGCATGTCCGTGCCTTCCTCCTTTTCATGGCTGCGTAATATTCCACTCCCCATTCATGCAAGGATGCACATGGGGGTTGCTACATTGTCACACGTTTCTAATCCAAAAGACACAAAACAAACACTGCCTTCAAGTCAAACATTTATTCTTGTCTTTGCCTTCAGATTGTGGCGGGGCCACTCTCGACCCCTGCCATTAACAAAATCGGGTCTCCAGCTTAATTCCCCATCTCAGATAACGTTCTCCAGAGGAACAGAACCAGCTGGAGATTTTATAGGGGTGTGTGTGTGTGTGTGTATTTATATATTTATATTTACATGTATTTATTTAGATCTGTAAGTTTATATATAAATTTAGAAGATATAAATATGTAAGTGATATGTAAATGATATAGATGATGTAAATATATGGAAATATATGTAAACATAGGTAGATTACAGATATACACACATAAAAAGATAGAAACAGACTAAATTTATCATTAAAAAATTTCTCCCATGATCACGGAGGCCAAGAAGTCCCAGGATCCGCCATCCAACCTGGAGACCCCAGGAAAGCCGATGGGGTGAGTCCCAGCTCGAGTCCGACTGGAAGGCGGGGGACGATTGACGTCCTGGCTCGAGGGCTGTCGGGCAGAGAGGGAGAGACAACACTTTCTCGCTCAGCCTTCTCTGCTGCCCAGGTCTTCAACTGATTAGACGAGGCCCACCTGCGCCGAGGACGGCAGTGGGCTTTACCGAGCCCGCTCACGCTCAGCGAATGTTCGGCAGACACCCGGCCACCCCCGGCCGTTACGTCGACCCACGTCATGAAGCCTCACACCCGCCCCGCCCCCCACTGCTCACCCCCAGGACCCTAAGGGGCATCCGCTTCCCGGGGAGCGACCCGGCCACATCGTGAACCCCAGTGTGTGTGTCCACCCGCTGTGCTGGGCTCGTTCCTCACCAGTTCTGAACAAAACAGCGTCTGCTTTTCCCGTGCGGGGGGTCTTCACGCATCTCCAGAGGCCCTCGAGCCGCCGGGCAGGGGTCAGGAGATGCGGCGTGCCGGGAGAGGCCTCCGAACGTGGCCGTGACGAGTGGCACACGCACGGCCGTCCCCGTGCCCTGCCCCGGCCGGACTTCGCTGACTGCGTTCGAGCTTTCTCGGCACGCCTGGATGTGGCCTCGGGGCAGGAGCAGAGGTGATTCGCCCGGTCCTGGACACGTTCCAGGCGGTGCCCACATGTGTCACCGGTCACTGCCCGGTCACCCGCTCGGCCTGCACGGTGCTAGTGGGGGTCAGTCACTTGGGGCGTTTCGCTGCTGGTATGCGGAAAAAAAGCCACGTGTCCTCTGGCCAAAGGACAGGCATGGGCTTCGCTCCTTCTCGCCCTGCGGTCTCTTCCTGTGCTTTGGTTACTGGCACCCAACATTTTGGGTCTCCCGTCCCCGCAAGGTACAAGGTGGGACAGTCGATCAGGATGTCGTGCCTTCTCCCACGGAGGGCAGCCAAGGGCCACCCTGGCTGGGCCCGCCCTGTGTGCTTCCTGGTTCGGACTGGGCTGCTGGCGGCCCGCCGCCTGTCCCCACGGCCAGCCCGGGGCTCGTGCCTTTCACGCACCGTGGCCCGCATCCTCTGTTCACAGCTAAGTGACCGCACGTGCTCAGCACCGATCATTCGTTTTGCCTAAGCAACCCGGGCGGGTCTCTGTTGCCAGCGAACAGATCCCGAACCTCTCAGCGGAATGACACCCTGACTGCTTTACCGCGGCGAAGCAAACATCAAACACCCTGTTCCCTCGCGAAGCTGAGCCCGCTCAGGCACGGAGTCAGGTACGAGCAGCGGGTGCTGGGGACCCTTCCACACGGGGGCCGGACTTCTTTCCCCACCCTCCCCCGAGAGCACCTGAGTGGACATCTGCCTGCGGTTAAAGGTGACAGCCATTCGAATGGATGGAATTGATGGCCCCGCTCAGCTGAGGTCCTGATGGAGTAGGAATAAATGGGTGGGTGGGTGTGTGGGCAGGCGGACGGGTGGACAGATGGATGGATGGGTGGATGGATGGATGGACGGGTGGTTGGATGGATTGATGGTGGATGGAGGGATGGGTGGGTGGGTGGATGGATGAGTGGATGGATGGATGGATGGATGGATGGGTGGATGGATGGATGGATGGATGGATGGGTGGATGGATGGATGGATGGGTGGATGAGTGGGTGGGTGGGTGGATGGGTGGATGGATGATGGATGGATGGATGGACGCATGGATGAATGGATGGGGGGGTGGATGGATGGAGGCTTGGGTGGGTGGATAGGTGGATAATGTGTGGGTGGATGGATGGAGCTCTACACTGAGCCCTGACAGAACCTTGGAGTAACAGGCCCGGTGGCCCCAGTGAAACCCACTTTTTACCATATCTTCGCCCTTTCCCTTCCTAACATTTTTTAAACATCGAGATGGTCAGTTATAGAAAGACATTTTCATTGGTTCCTCCTTTTTAATCTATTTTTTTAAAATAGAGAAACAATTAAGATGATGGATGGACTGACAGATGGATGGATGGGTGGGTGGATGATGGGTGGGTGGGTGGATGGACGGATGGATGGACGGAGAGATGGGCGGGTGGATGAGTCATATTAAGAGGCCAATGATGTTGGTACGCCTTTTTCTACTACTAGCAATTCCGAAAAACCCATCCGGTAATTTAAATTTAGTGAAGCACATTGACACCCACGTTCCCTCTCCCTGTTAAATACAGAATCTTCCTCTGACAGGTGACACACACCGTGTCACGCACACGGCCGAGTGAGGCCACCCCACTGCTATAAATTCTCACCGGAGCACAGCAGCATCCATCCGAAGGGCACGGCATACGCTGGGATGCAGAGCTGGCACCGAGCCGATTGTGCACCTGAAGCCAATGAGCCACCGCCCGCCACCCACGAAGTGTCCTCTCCGGAGAGGCCGCGGCAGACGCGTACTCCCGTGGGGCGTACCTCCCTCTCAAGCGCACCCGACTCCAGCTTCTGTCCCGGCGCCCGCATGGACTACACCCCTGTTCTTTCTCCGGAAGAAATGTACGGCGTCCTCGTGATGGCCGATCGCCAGCCTACCCGACCCGGCTGAGGCTACGTCCCGATGGCTCTTTTCGATTCACCCCTGGAGAATCACACGTGTGCACCAAGCAAGACTTCCGGTCATCCACGCCCGGACGTCCAGAGAAGCGACCCTCCCGCAGCTCAAGCTGATACCTGCGCCGATGCCACCCATTCAGCCAGCCTGTCCCGGCCAAGCTAAGCTGCTGCAGGTGACAGGAGTGTGGCCCGTCCCCGCCTCTGAGTTTCCCCAGAGTCCTCTCGCACCTTCTCCCAAACCTCTATCTGATCGGCCCTCGGTTTTCAATCGTACACGCCTGAGAAGTAAACCATTCCCACCTTGAAACAGTAAATAAATAAACCCACAATTCTTTCTTATTAGCACAGTGCTGTCCGCTTTTAATGATGACTGTGGTGGCCACAAAGGAGGAGCCCGTGAGCTGTCCCAGCGTGAGAGCACAGCACGGCCACACTGCCGAAGGCGAGGCTTTCTCCTGGCTCGAAGGGTCCAGTCTCAGGAAACGGAGAAGTTTTCGGAAAGGGCCGAGCTGACGTGGCGCGGGCGGCCCCGTGACGGCACACGCTGGCGGGACCTGAGGTAGTGAGCAGGCTCAGCTGCGTCAGGGAAGAGTGTGGTAGGTAGATTTTTGCATCCATCCCTCCCTCCTTCCATCCATCCATCCATCCGTCCATCCATGCTTTGCCCTCCAAGGACAGAGCCTCCGCATCATCACGCACGATTGTTCTGTCGCCGCAAGTCACTTGAATGAAACCCTCGTCTCTTCACAACCAGCAGGTCGACCCATTTAGAGGAGGCTGCACTGCGCAAGCCATCTAGAACCTTCCCTCCACATTCTGCCAGCGTCTGCCAGACCAGCTGTCGGTCAGCGGCCGCTGGACGTCGGGTGACGACGGCTCCGCCCTTTCCGAGACGCGCTTCGCGAAGTCCGAGGGACAGTCGCGGTTACGCTGCGTGAGCACTTAACGGTCACAGGAGGCACAGGTCCTGAGCACACGCCGCAGTGCCGCCAGCTTAGGGACAGGAGGGAACGTCCTGGCACGTTAACCCTACAGAGCGCGGACAGCGCGGGAGCCCCCGTCCCAGGCGGCGTCCCGGGCGCCCTTGAGGTAAACCGGCATCCCGGGTCGACCGCCAGCTCCGCCGCCTCCTCTGCCCACAGGGCGGCCGGAACGACCGAGCCGTCGGAGGCGTGGGGCGTGCAGGTGACACGGCTCCGCAGGGGACTGCGAGCCGCGGGTACCAGGGTCTCCGTTCCATCTGTGAGGCACTCGAGTGGGCCATAAATAACCATAAATAGAGGCACGTGGTGGGACAGCTTCTCCCTGGGACAGCACTGGAGGGCGCGGACCCCGTGGGGCGGCCGCGCGCGCGACGCGGCCGCCCCGCTCACTGCAGGAAGCGGTCCAGCTTCTCCTGGATGCGGGCGAACGCGTCTTTGCCCATGTAGTCGATGCGACCCTCTTCCCAGGTCCTCCTCTGCTCCTCGGAGCTCAGCGCCACCACCTTCTCCTCGATGGAGATCTCGGCGACGGAGATGGCCAGGTCCACCTAGGGGAGACAAGCGGGCGGGACGCGGCTTCAGACACGGCCCACGGCCCGGCGGGACAGACGCCCCGGGCCGCCGTCCGCTTCGGCACACGGCCCTGCCGACGGGCCTGGGTTCCCCGGGAGCTGCCGATCGTGGACGCCTGGCTCTGGGACAAAATGCAAACCTCGATTGAACAGAAAGGAAGCAGAGAAGGAAAATACTGTTTTTCTTTTGCATTCGATATAAGATTCTTAGACGAAAGCGTGGCTGGCCTGTTTTTGGAAAGGCAGTAAAGTGTCATTGTGCACGCGCTCACTTTATCCCCAAGGACTGCTTCCATTTTCAGCCACTAAACCGTTTTGCAGACAGGTATACTGATTACTTTCACCAAAACCTCAGTGTTTAGTACCATAAATAACCATAAATAGAGGCACGTGGTGGGACAGCTTCTCCCTGAGACAGCACGATATATAATCAAGCAATCAAAAAAAAATCTATTCTTCAAACCACGTGAAATGAAAATACTCACCCTATATAAATAAAGCCTACATTATTCACCCTATATAAATAAAGCCTACAGTATTTTGGCCATTTAAAATACTGATTTAAATACTTTCCTCCTTGCCGTAGAGGCCTTTCCATCTTCAGGGATATGCACGAGAGGACACGTACACACACAAGCGTGTGGCCGCAAACGCACGCACACACACTCACCTCACTTCCGTTACGGACTCCCAGGGGTCAACAAAAAATAATAAAGACACCTGCTTCAAGGACTAGAAGAACAGTTAAAAATACACATGTGGTAATAATGATTCACACGTGCGAACAGACACACACGCGCGCGGACACACACACACACGCGTAGACACTGAGTGGACTCGGGTATTTCCCAGATGCCGAGTGTCCGGGATAGGACAGTGGACACCGGATGCTTAAGTTGCAGGGTCTGTGGCCATCGCGTGCTTTCTCCTGCTCATGCGCCACGGTGGGTTTAAAGGGGTTCCACACGGGAGAGTCTGCTCCCCGGACCCATCCCTGCCCGTTTTATTCCCACGCAGCCGTCCTGTCGGCCGAAGAGATTGCGACAGTGAGAAATGACCTTTCCCAGACAGCTCGGCACTGCTGCCCCGTTGGGTCACGTCGCTTTGGGCTCCGCAAGATGCCAGGTTTGCAAACGCCGTGGAGTCAGCGGGCCCCACAGCGGCCCGCCCCTCGCGGCTGGTCAGCGGGGTGCGTGTGGCAGCCGCGCCACCCGTGATAGGGGCTGAGACAGGTGTCTGAGAGAGCAGCAGCCTCCTCAGCCTCACGGAACAGGGAGATGCTCAGACACAGGACGAGCGTCGTCTGTGCCACAGGGAATAGCTGATGCTCCACTGGCCGCTGGGACTGGTTCCTGGGTGCCGCCCATGCCCATGTCACCGGGTGTCACTGGACTCGGGTATTTCCCAGATGCCGAGTGTCCGGGATAGGACAGTGGACACCGGATGCTTAAGTTGCAGGGTCTGTGGCCATCGCGTGCTTTCTCCTGCTCGTTCACCACGGTGGGTTTAAAGGGTTTCCACACGGGAGAGTCTGCTCCCCGGACCCATCCCCGCCCGTTTTATTCCCATGCAGCCGTCCTGTCGGCCGAAGAGATTGCGACAGTCAGAAATGACCTTTCCCAGACCGCTCGGCACTGCTGCCCCGTTGGGACACGTCACTTTGGGCTCCGCGAGATGCCGGGTTTGCAAACGCTGTGGAGTCAGCGGGCCCCACAGTCGCCCGCCCTTCGCGGCTGGTCAGCGGGGCGTGTGCGGCGGCTGCGCCACGCCACCCGTGACAGGGGCCGAGACAGGTGTCTGAGAGAGCAGCAGCCTCCTCAGCCTCACGGAACAGGGAGATGCTCAGACACAGGACGAGCGTCGTCTGTGTCACAGGGAATAGTTGATGCTCCACTGGCTGCTGGCACTGGTTCCCGGGTGCCGCCCCGTGACGGAAGGTGTGGGGGCCACGTCCTGGGAGCCGCCAGCTGCAGCAGCCGTGGGAGGACGGGAGCTGAGCTTTGAGAGCCAGGCTCCGACCAGGCTTTTCTTCCACGTGGCTGTGCCACGTCCCCTCCCGCTGTCTCCCGTGGGCACCTCAGCCTGCACGTCCTGGACGCCTGGACGACGGAAGGCACTCGCCCGCCCTCCCACACCTGCCCGGCGGCGGAGCCGTCCACGGCGCGGGGTCTGCCCGCCGTCACTGCTCCACCGTAACCCGCTCGTCACTACACGTGCGGTTGGTGCCGTCTCAAAATCCTCGTGCGGGGCTGACGGCGGGGAGCGGGCAGGCTCGCCCCGCACACGCCGACCAGCGGGCTTCCAGCAGAAACCGCGTCCCCGACACCTGTACGCGGCAGTTCGCCGTACTGCGGCTGGCGTCTGCCACCCTGACACAGCAAGAATGAGAAAACACATTCGCGTCATCTCCACGGTCAGGGCTGGGAACGGCCCCGTGCAGCCTGCATCAGCCGGTGGCCTTCGTCCCATAGACGTCGCTATGGAGCGACTGTTTGTGTCTCCCCCAGATCCGCAGGCTGAGACCCGACCCCCAAGTGCCAGGGCGAAGAGGCGGGGTCTTCGGAGGAGGTCAGATCACGAGGGGCACAGCCCTCCTGGGTTCGGGGCCTGCAAACTAAACCCACAGGAGACAGATGAAAGGGGTTCGTGCCTCGTAGAACAGGCCGCGGGAATTCCGCTCACGCCCTCCTCCACGTGAGGCACAGGGAGGTGACGCCGCCTCTGACCCAGGAAAGGGCCCTCGCCAGACCCCGCATCCGGGGACCCCTCGATCCTGGACGTGCCGCCGCCTCAACTGTGAGCACTAAATTCCTACTGCTTCCGAGCCCCCCGCCCCAACCCTCAACGCGCACGAGGAGGAAGGTCCAGCACGGCTTTTCATCACGAGCCCAACGCCCGCGGCAGAGCTGTCCCTCCTGCGACTTAAAGCCCGAAGGTGTTACGACATCATCGTCAGGAAAACATAAACAATAAATAACAAACAAAGCACGAAAGGCGTCCACGCAGAGAACAGCGTGCGGCGCAGCCTCGGGAGGAACGCGGCTTCCGCTCCACCCCAAGGAAGGAACGGGGCGCACGGCCCTGGGATGGCGGCGTCCACGTCCCGATGTGGACGCCACGCTTCGCTGGGCATTACGCTCCACGCTCCCCGGGAAGAAAGGAAAGCTCTTTGGTTCACTC